AACTGTGGTCAATGTCATGAGACAAAGTGTATGTGAACTGCTGTATGGAAAGTGAATTTGCTCTGTAAATCTTCACCCAAATCAAAAAAAAAAGACAAGCTTTCTAGCTCTTTGGCTTCCAATATTTCAGTGTGTGGCTTGGAACCCTGACAAACACAAAGAGCCTATGTTCTCTCTGGTGTACCCTGACTTACACCACCTACCACCAAGTACTGTGGTGTTCAAGTATCAAGGATGTCAAATGCTAGATCCACTCTAAGCAAAGGCCCTGGGTCTGTAAAGAACAAAGCATGGAAGCTATAAACTTCACCCAACATCCTTGGCCACATTAAAATACAGTCAACTGCATGCCCATCTGTCCCCCCACTGATATTCCTGCTCTGGAACATCTTTTGCTTCCTCCTATGTACTTACCTGGAGGAGTGGTTTATCCTGCATCCACATGCAATAGAACAGTCCTTTCCATACCTTCAGTAACTCATCATGCGTGAAGCCACCTGCATCACAAACAGAGATGTTCAGACCAAACATACCCAATCTTTTAGTTCCAAGAATGAATTCAGGGAAATGTGGCTGCTTGAATCACACCAAAGTCTTACTGATGTACTTGCACAGCATAGAAGCTGCCCTCCCTGCTCAAGCAATCCTAACTCAGAATTGCTGAGCCTGTGGCTGTTGGGTTTCCTCCAGGGAAATGCCACTTTACTTACTCAGTGAACATGTCCTGAGAATCAACAAGGCAGCAGGCTCAGGACTCCATCTTGGAGATTCAAAAATCAGTCTGATGGCTAAGCTGGATGGTTGCTACACCAATGAGTTCATCGGTGCTATTTCACCAACTTTACACTTAACTTGTACACTTTCCTCTGTTAATATCTCATATTTTAAAAGAAACATTTAACTCATACATTAAGAAAGGTTGTGGTAGCTGTGTGTCAACTTGGCAGGGCCTGGTTTTGACTGGCTGGGTAGCTAGATGTAATTATTCCCCATGATGAAACTGGTAATCAATTCCATGGTAGAATCTACTGTGAGCCTTAGGAAGCAGCACTGAGAAAGGTCTCTGCAGCTTTCTGGCAAGCTTAGACTCTGCATGTAGCTAAATCTTCATTCAGCACCCTGCCAAAGAACTTGGCACTGTCTCTGGACTTGAACTAGTGGCCTGCCTCGTTTGGTAATCTTGGGACTGTTCAAACAGTTTTATTTGTCGACCTGGGGTTTGTCAGCCTCAGCAGCTAGGAGCTGCCTGAGTGAAAAGACACCTTCAGCTCCAATGGGCCAGGACCAAGAGGCAAAGCTGAAGCCCAAGGTTGAGGCTAGCCCCTAGAGCTGGCACTTTGAACTCAGACTTCCAGCTTCCAAAACTGTAAAAGAATAAATCCCTATTTGTTAAAGCTATCCTTTCAGCTGTGGTATTTCTGTTAGAATGGCACAAGGTAACCAAAACAAAGGCAGACATACAAAATCACTCATTTGATAAATATTTGTGGTTAGCTGCCATCAGTTAGGTCCCCAATTCATAGTGACCCCCTGTACAACAGACCAAAATGCTGCCCAATCCTGCACCACTCCCATGATCAGTTACAGTTCAGACCATTGGGATGCACAGGGTTTTCAGTGGCTTATTTTCAGAAGATATCTCCTTGAGGACTAAGGTGCGCCTGACACAAGCCATGATATTTCCAATCGCCTCGTATGCATGTGAGAGCTGGACAATGAATA